CACGTACGGGTACAGCGCGAGCAAGGCGGCGGTCATTCACCTCGGCAGGAACCTGGCCCTGGAGCTGGCGCCGCGACACATCACCGTCAACTCCATCGCCCCGGGCTTCTTCCCCAGCAAGATGTCAAACGGCCTGCTGAAGATTGCCGGCGGCGCCGACAAGATCGGCAAGGGCAACCCCATGGGACGGCTCGGCAAGCCGGAGGACATTGCAGGCGCCGTGGTCTACCTCGCCAGCCGCGCCGGGTCCCACGTCAACGGCGAGGTCATCGCGATTGACGGAGGGTCGCTGTGGCAGCGTGGGGAGCTGAACGTGTCCAAATTGTAGAACAGTAACAATGTGTATTACCATGCCCGTCTATGATGCTATTCGCTGTGACACAAGATGCTACCGCGGCTTGCGGGCCACCCAGAAACTCGCCCGGTACGTTGTCGACAACATGCTCTCGCGGTCGTGGATGTAGGGCGCCTCGATGCCCGTCTCGCGGCGCTCGACGACGAACCCGACCCTTTCCACCAACGCCATGACCTCGTCGTCGCTCAGCTCGAAGCTGCCGGGGTCGGCAATGCCCGACGAGTTGTTGTAGTCGTGCTCCCCGTCGCCGTCCGTGTCCTTGCCGTGGTTCCCGGGAGCGTTGTTCTCAAAGTGCCACAGCAGGGGCCCAAAGTTGATGAGCACACCCCCGGGCCGCAGGCAGTGGTGGATCGTCTCGAGGTAGCGAATCAGATTCGGCGCGGTGTCGAGGAAGAAGACGGTCGCCACCGCGTCGTAGGCGTCGGCGTGCTCGGCGTCGGCGTACAGGCAGAGAAAGTCTGCCGCGCACATGCTCATGGAACCGACCGACGGGCCCGCGGCCGCGAGCGCGGAGGCCGGGTGGATGTCGGGGACCGCGCAGCTCCTCAGGTGGTTCGTCCGCGTGCGGTGGTTGGAGAAGGAGTGCACCCAGGGGTAGACTGTGTGCTGCCCCGGCCCTGTCGTGCAGTTGAGAATGTATGAGGAGGCGAGCAGCTGGTGGTAGGAGATCTCGTTGCCCTCGGCGTCGTGGCCCGCGCGGCACAGCTCGAAAACGAGACGGCCCAGGCCGGCGCCCGGGACGAGCACCTTCAGCGGGGCGGCGGCGGCGTCTTGGCGCTCGCGGGCGACGGCGTCCAGCACGGGGCCGTAGCACGCGCGGCGCTCCTCCGCACCGTCGGCCGACCAGTCGCGGAAGAACTGGCGGAGACTGCTCCGGGCCTTGTCGGTGTCGTTGTGCTTGGCCACGCCCACCCACTCGTCGGGCATCCTGGGCTCTCCGCTGCCAGGGTCGACACCACCGCAGGACCGCAGCCCGTTTTGCGCGATCGCCCGGGCGAGCTCCGCGTTGGTGTCGATGGCCTCATCCGTGCGCTCCAGCGTGTCCAAGAAGTTGAAGGGAGGGGCCGCCAGCATCTGCCAGTGGGCCTGGGGCAGCGCGTAGAACGACTGCCTCCTCAGGTGAGTGACGTTGAAGTGAGCCACCTTGGCATATTGGCTGCACATGTCAGTCTGCGGTCACCAAAGAAACAGGTCCACACTCACAGAAACGAGTCCAGGGCACAAAAGATGACCTTGGTCTCCTCCGGGTCCTCCATGGTGCTCTCCATGCCGCTCCATTGCTCGTCGTCGGCCATTTTGACACGGGTGGTCGGGTCCTCAACACGCTCGTCAGTTCTGAGTTTTCGGCGGGCGGCCGCGGTGCAAGGAGGGGCAGTCGGGGCTGCTGTGGCGGCGACAGGGCGCTCCGCTCCGCTCAGGTCCTGGAGAACAACATACTTTTGGTTTTCTAGTCGGGCGACCGGGGCTTCCTCCTTGGGGGTGGGTGGAGGGGCTTATCGCGACATCATGGCATCCGGTGTTTTCGCCAGCAGCGACTGCCCCGACAGCGGCGCATCGCACTCACTTGGGGTGACGCGGGGCTAGAACGGCCCCCGCCATTACCAATCGGGTTCCTGAAAGATGTTTACACTGTGCCCGCACGGCCAAAGCGTAACTTTGACCTCACCTCAACACCACCTCACCCAGAGCGAATGAGTGACAATTTGTTTGTATACATCCGACAATACCGTGAGTCGTTTATCCGTCAATCTACATGAACGCGTGCTAATCTACATAGTCCCAGTCCTCATTATCAATCCCAACGCCAAGAGTTGCAATGCTCGCCAATCAATTTGTCCTCCCACCCAGTTCCCTCAGTGGTCACGGTGACGACGGGCGTGCCTCTTCTTCCGCCTCTCGTCTGCGTACTCGCTGCTCACAGCGCTCTGGCTGCTCAGCCCGGGGATGACGTGGTGGTACGACTTGTTGCCGTAGTCGCTCTCGACAGCGCTGGTAATGTCGCTCTCGGTCCAGGCGCCGGGGACGCTGGGCTCCGGCTCCTCCTGGGGCGGCGGCAGAGCGTATCCGCGGGTGGCCTGGTCCTCGGCGATCGTGCTGGCACGCTGGAAGCTGAAGTCGCGTCTGGAGCTGCCGGCGGAGCGGCCCTTCTCCTGCAGCCTCTTGGCCTCGGCGCGGATGCGCTGGCGCTCGCGCTCCTCGTTGCGGTCTGCCGTGCTGTACACCTTGCGGATGCCGCCCTTGGCCGGGGTCGACGTGGGCGTCGTCTCGCGGTTCGACAGCAGGTTGGATGACACGGACGACTCGGTCGGGTTGGTAGAGCCGTCCCACTCCGACGACTCCGACTCCTTGTTCATGCCGCCGACGCGGGCAGGCCTCTCGTGGCGGTACGACCTCAGGTGCTGCTTGGCCTCACGCTCCGCCTCTTCGTCAATCAGGACGCTGGCCTCGTCGTTGTTCCGGCGGGATCGCTTCTCGCTGTGGCGTCCCTCCTTCTTCTCCCTGCGCCGCTTCTCCTTCTTGCGTTCACGCTTCTCGCGGGCGGCGATGTCGCTCGCGCCCGCAGTGATGCCCGACAGCGTGGTGCCCGAGATGCTGGTCTGGTTGTCGTCGTAGTCCTTGTACACGCTGCCGCCTCCGAGCTTTGTCGACTTGGTGGCGTTGGACAGGATGGTGCCGTTGGGTCCCTTGCGGCGCAGGACGGTCGACTTGTAGTCGTCCCAGTCGTCCTCCTTGAAGTAGAAGCCGCCGTTCTTGGCCCAGAAAAAGAACCAGATACCGGTGACGACAAAGGCCGCACCGATTAGGCCGAAGAGCACAAAAATGGCCGTGTTGTTGATATCGCCGGGGCTTGTGACGCCGCTCTTTGGGTCTTCCTTCGCCGGCGTGCCGTCACGGGCGGCGAGGATGGATCTGGCGACGAGGGGGCCGACGGCCGGGTCGAACCCTCTCGCCGTGATGTCTGCCGTCTGCGGAAGGCTCGAGAGCCCGCTCGAGATGACGGAACGGGCGTGCTGCGCCAGGCCGTTGACGACGGCCGGAGCCATGGTATCGATATTCGGTGACGATGGATGGTGCAAAGGCGGGATTGGATATCGGTGAGACAGTCTCGTGGTGTTGATGGAATGCTAAGCCCACTCTTGATTGAAGGCGAAGGGCAGGAAAATCAGATTGCGGATGGATGGGGAAGGAGTGCAGAGAAGAGTTGCCTGGCCACCTGCGTGGTGGATGGTTGTTCCTATAGAAACCAAAAATCATGTGGCTGGGATGCGTACAACTGAGGTGGTTGGTGGGGAGCAGCGCCAACCGGGGTCCAGCACGGGTTTCCCTGCTTCTCTTTTTTGGGTCTTCCCAGTGAGTCCGTCTCACTGGATGCTGACCTGACTTGGCAGGCTTTTTTTTCCTGCATCCCGAGTTGCATCTGCTGTTACCGTTCACCATCCCCCAATGACGTCGCGAGTCAATAGATTTGTCCGTTGCCCAGCAACCACACCACCCAATCACCACCGTGCACCAACCTTCCATTTCCGTCGTCCCGTCACAGAAACCATCCCAGCAAACGGCAAACGGCAAACGGCAAACGGCGCAACGGGCGGCGGATCCCGCTCCCGCACGGATGAGCACAGTTAACTCAGACATCGTCGCTTCACAAATCGCATACCCCATCTCGCACGCTGCCAAAAAGAGACCAACGTCCTATTCCTGTGCCGTTTCAAGTCTGTGTCACGTCCGCCAGCGCCAACTACAGCACGCTGACGGGCTCTGCAAACCCCTGCGGACGAGCTCGGCCAACACGTTCACCCCTTCTCATTGGACCTGAAAGCTAAAAGAGATGACAGGCGCAAAACTCTGAGGCATCCCGCGAATGCTTCTCGTCGATCGGACTGCCTGGAACGGCAACTGATCGCCCCCACTCGTTGGATGGAGGGCGTGCATCTACGGACTGGCGGGCACATCACGAGACAATTGGACGACCAGAGCGGCTACTGTTCCAACATTTCATTTCGATTGCGGCCTATATGGCTCAGCCATGCTAGGGGTATCTGTCTCGCCGCGCAAAGGGCAAGTCATCCGCAACACCCATCCGTATCCTTTTTTCCCCCAACCGGGCCACCCTTCGCGGGCATCCTCCCAATGATCTAGAAGCGGATCCCGATGATGGCCATGACAATTTCCCACATGCCACCCTCCCTAATAGCGCAGGAAGTGCGAACTTCCCGGATTGCCCATACAGGTCGTCTATCAACGTGTCCAACTCGTACGCTGTGCTGAAAATGCGACACACTGCTCCGCCCCGACACGCGGTCAGGGCGAGTAATGTCGCAGGCACGACAGCCATCACCCGGGGGTAGCCAAGAAAGGCCTCTCCTCCGCGTATGCCCAGAAAGAAAGAAAAACATTGACCCATTATCGCGTCCCAGCATACGAATTCCAAATGTCCTCGAGGCTCCCTGTCTGAGCCCGCATATACATGATTCGTTCAGATTGTATAAGAAATGCAAATAGAAAGGTAGTAACAATGAGGAGACGAGCGTCAACCTCAATGCAGAGAAGAGAAGCAATCGTATCGATACAATGCAAAACGCTCGCTTCAATGAAATCGTAGGAAACGCCATCGCTTCGTCAACTTCGTCATCATCGTGGCCGCTCAAAAGAAGGGCGGCCTGGCCTGCGGGGCATAGCTGTAGTCGCTGACCTGGCTGCGGTTCCACGAGTCGGCACGGGCACGGATGGGCAGCGGGCGCGAGTCTCTGCGGGTCGGGCGGTCGTCCGAGTAGACGGTGCTGGCCCGGTCGCTGCCGCCGTTGCGGCTCGGCTGGGTGATGTTGATTTCGCCGCCATCCTGGCATTGGATCTCGGCACCGCCAATCTTGAGTACGGCGCTGCCGGTAACCTTGATGGTGACGTCTTCGCTCTCAATGGCCGAGGACCGTGTGGTCCGCGTCGTGGCGCTCTGTCGGTACTCGCTGTCGTCGCGGCTCTCGCTGCTGCCGCTGGACCGGCTGCTCTTGCTCTGCTTGGCCTTGAGGGCAGCGGCGGTCAGCGGCGCCGTGGGGCCGCCGCTGACGCCGTTCTGGTACGCCATGGCAGCGTGCTGGGCTTCGGCCATCTTGTGCTCCGAGTAGCTGCCGACCTTGGGCTCCGGGTAGCTGTCGGCGGCGGCCATGTACGAGTGACGGCGAGTGCGGCCCGCAGGCTCAATGGAGTAGCCCTCCCGGCTGTATGCGCTGGAGCGCCGACGGTGGGCGCGAGGACGGTCCAGGACACCGTCGTCGTATTCGTAGTGCACGACCTGCTGGTAGAGAGAATCGTCGTCGTCAAAGGCGTCAGAGTCGTAGCTGGCTTGTGCAATCTGGCGTGGGGGCGGCATCTTGGGGGCCGACTTCTGGCGGGGTGGGCCCTTGACAGCCTGCCGGGTCGGCTGGCTTGTCTTTGGGCGCGGCGGCGGCGGCATGAGCTGCCGGGGATCGCCCTCGGCCGGGCGGATCTTGACCGACCGCCGCCTGGGCATCTGCTCCTTCTCGTACGGGTCATGTTCGTACGAGTCCGAGATGGAGCGGTGGCCCATGGCGGACGAGGGTCTCTGGAAGCGCTGGGCCAGGTGGGTCTGTCCGGGTGCCGCCTGGGGAGGCCCTGCATGATGAGGGGGTGGTGCGTGGTGAGGCGGTGGGAAGTAGTCGCTTGCGGAAGACGGCGGCGCGGGGTACGGCATCCCGCCAGGCGGAGCCCATTCCTGCGGATGAGCATACGGCATGCCCGGTGTGAAGGGGGACTGAGCCATCGGCGGCAGCGGCTGCATCGGCGATGGGGCCATCGGAGAGGGGGCGTACGGCGACGGGGCGTTCTGAGCATACCAGCGCTCATTCGCCGGGGGCGGCCGGGTGCCTTGGCCGTAGTAGCTGTTGGGTCGGTTCGACATGCCTCTCGGGCGGTGTGCCTGTGCCGGCTGGATGCCATACTGCGAGGAGTCGTCCTCGAAGCGCGGCCTCCGGTACTCGTCAGGCTGTTGCGTGTGGACGACCGGGGCCGTCTTGACGCTCTTCACCGGGGGCCGGACGGCAGGCTTCTTGGGCCTCTCCTGTTCGCGGCGGTCGACGGGCCTCTGTTCGTCCTTCTTCCTTCGACGGCGCTCCTCCCCGCCCCTCTCGTTGACGCTCTCGTGTCTCTGGCGCTCATACTTGGCCGTGGTGGGGTCGTTGACGGTGTCGTCCGAGTCGGTCAGACCTGGGTCCTGGATGGACGTTCTCCTCATCTTCTTTTCTTTGGGTCGGGGTCTGGCAACGTTGGCCGTGTGCTTTTGGGGGCTGCTGGGTGCAACCGAACGGGCGTACGTCCTCTCAGCGCTCTCGAGAGCGGAGCCGGCGTCGTCTGCGTCTTGTACGTAGGCAACTTTGCCTGCCATAGCGTTGGGATCAGATGGCTGGTGAATGTATGTTTGCTCGCAGTCGAGCGACTAGTGTCTAGAGGCAAATGAGCCTCGGAGGAGGCGTGTGCAATCGTGAGTGTGTTGCGAGTTCTTGGAGAGCAGTGAGTTGGTGGGAACAGCGTGCGTGGGAGCAGGAACTTTTTTGTACAGAGGGCGAGGGAGGAGGACGGTGGGGATCCGGAAGGGGATGCGACCACTATCTGATGGAGGGAGGGCCCGTATTTGTGGGTATGAGAATCGACCGGGATGGGGTGTGAAATTGGGTGTGATGCGTTCGTTGGTGTGGTGTCGAACGGAGTACTGTATTGCTGTCGATCGTCAGAAGAGGCGATGTGGTCTGTTGAACGCACAAAAGTACGGACTGGACGCTTGGACGGGCTGGAAGAGACCAACATCTTATTACTTTTGCTTGTTGTGCACCGTTCCGTGCCATGCTACGGCTGCTGAGCGAGCGAGCGAGCGAGAGAGAGAGAGAGACAGAGGAAGAGGAATCGCTCGGAGGGAGGAGGCGTGTGCGCAGCCGAACAATTCTTTTTGAGGGGGAGAAAAATGCAGAGGCCAATCGTGGGGTCGGTGGTGCTGGCAGGGGACGTGGAGGGGCGTGTTCGCAGCCAAAAAAGTACCTGACAGCAGATGATGTCGCTGGTTGCCCGGGGTGCTCTGCCGCCGTCCAGTGTCACTCCAATGGCCGGCCAGCGTGGTCGATAGCCCGAGGGCAGGTGTGGCTGTGGTTGCGAGCTCGTCGCCGGCTTTGAAATCGGATTCCGAGGACCGTGTTTCGTGGTGACGATGCCCGCGATGTGCAGTCTACGACGAGCATTGGCAGCTGGGACGGCATTCAAGCGAGGCCCAGTTGGTCTGGAGACAGGGCAATTCGCCGTCAACCTCCCTTGCCCCGTTGGCCCAGCCCTGGCAGGATGGGATTCTTGGGCTCATGGACAGAAATGGAACGGTCCCAGATAACGAGCTAAGACAGTAGCCTCAGCTCCACCGCGTGGGAGCAAGGAAGCTCAGCTGGCGTGCTGGCGTCCTCGGCTGGCCTCTGCTGCTGGCTGGCTGTCGTTCTCTGACGGGGCCAGGGAATCCTCGACACAGCAATTGACCGCAAAGTTGGGAAACTGGGCGGCCCCTGGCTCTGGTGCTTGTATTGGCGCTGGTGCAAATCGCCGCCGCTTCGAGTCAGAGCGCCAGAACGCACTCAGGCCCAACTGTGGAGAAGCTTGTCTTTCGTTTCTTCCCGTCCGCGACCGTTGCAGTGGATTCCCTGGACGGCCTGGGTGATCGGGGGGCCTGCCAGCCAGGGTTATCTTGTGCCACCAACTGTCACTGGAATTCAAACCACAGGCGCAGACGTTTTGTGCGCGCTCGTGAGTCAATTGTGTGCTGTTGTCCCGAGGTTCGAGCATCGAAATCTCCAACAGCACATCCGCCGCACAGGGGGGTGAGGACATGGAGCCTGCCTCCCTTGGGCTTCGTTTTTTTGGCTGGGAGTCTCCGCGTGCGCGGGAGATCCACCTCCAGGGCCAAACCAGACGGGGTGCCACCCAAGATGACGGAGCATGTGTGGTGCGTTGTGCCCTTTTCGGTTGAAATTTTCAGTCTGCGTGCTGATTTCATGCCCGACCCTGCAACAGGCTTGGCCTTTGGGTATCAACAGTCAAAGATGCTGACAGACACCAGCCAGCATCCAATCGTTTACCACGCCTTCACCTTTTTGAAGACATCTGGCTAAACCGGGTTTTGTCGTCAACGTTTGTGTCTCGTCGACGTGTGGGCACGAAAAAAAACTCGTCGTCAGCATGGATGAATGGTGCGCGACCCAGACTGAGCACCGGTGCGAACAAACGGTTGCCTTGAACGCTGGCAGAGTCTGCACACGATGCAGGCCAGCACACCAGGCCGCTCCGGAGAGCCCAATCACGACGCGACCCACCCGGCCTGGAATGCAGTCTCCTGCAAACCGGGCCCGCTGCTTCGTCTCATAGGGCGGATCCGGGTCGGCAATGGGAGTCATCGGTCCATCTCCATGCTGCGGATGGCTTCGCTCTTGCCCAGCAGCGTCTGGCTCCGCGCACTACGATGTGAGATGGCATCACACTGCTGGATACTGCGCTGCGGCCAGGGCCAGATCCATCGTCGCGCTCTGTGTAGCCGTAATGTTTCGCCCGGGCGTGTTCGAGATTTGTTGCCCGTTGGCAGGACCGCAACGGATCGGCATCGTTGCAGTTGACGCGGTGCTTTCGGACACTGCCACGGTTGTTACTGTGCGCTTCTCATTGGCCGTCGTCTCCCGGTGTGGTCTCGAACAGCCACCTGCCTCCCGTCTGATTGGCGGGGTCCGATTCGGGCTCAAGAGCATACCCCGTCTGCGAATGTCTCTTGAACGTGCCGTTGGGAGAGACACTGCGGAGATGTCCAGTCTCTGCCGGACAGGACAACCAGGCCCATGGGTGAACCGATGGATTTAGAAGATGGCGTTGCGCTCCATTCGTGTTGCACATCACCGCGCGTTTCTCCCGCATGCTTCTCAACAGTGGCCCCGGCCTGCTTGCCCGCCTAGCGCGAGGACATGCCGGAACGGGAACGACTGAGGCCCTCCCGGAGCCTCTCATGGCTGTGTGGCTGTCGAATGCAAGTGGTCGTGTCGAGGGTGGAGCCTAGCCATTTGAGCATGAACGAGCCGGGGAGGGAATCCGGAGAATCTACGTTCTCGGCCGTCGCTGTTGAGAACGCTGTCCATATCAACGTCGACGTAAGCATGAGATCCCCAGATCTGATGCACGCCATGGGTGCATAGTTGGGCAATCGCAGGGCAATCGTAGAGTCCCGGCCTCAAGATGCACAGGGCTGTTCCTCGAGCAATCGACTCAATTGTCTAGATTTCGGGGCGGATGGATCGACGGCGATTGCTGGCTGTGGAGCGCAGGGGCGACACCACACCGGAACCACACCGCCTTTTCGCTCGAGGCATGTTCCCTCGACGCCACTATCAAAACCGTCCCGGCGCCACAGGTAACGTAGTCTGCCGGAACGGTCTCATTCTCGATTTGAGATGAACAGAGTCCGGCGCGGGAGCCTTCGGGAGGGCGCGTTTGTCAGCTCGCGACTTGTGCTCAGTGGCCGCTGTCTTGAAGTCTTGCAGGTTTAATATTGGCAGTATCCAAACATGCTAGTCATGCAGGAGTCTCGGAGGATCGGGCAGTCTAGATCTGCTAGGTTTGTGATACCCAGATTGCATGGCATCGCACTCAGGCCACGCCTCCCCCGATACTTATCAAAAGCTGGCTGGCCGTAGCACGGGGATTTCCACGTCCGCAACGACAGGCCTGTGGTCGGATAAGTAGACGTCATCGTCAAACTTGTTCGACAGCACGCCAAACGTCCTCACGGTGGCCGGGCTCGGATCTTGTACGAACAAAAAGTCGATCCTCGACGGCGTCTCGTTCGGCTCTTCAAACGAGGTGTAGGTGATTTCGTTTCCGTATCGTTTCTCCTTTGGCACTCTGGCGGACACGTCAACCATGCCCGAGTCTGGTGAGACCATGGTCTTGTATGCGTTGTCTTCTGGCGTGCTGTTGAAGTCGCCTGCAAGGAGGACTGTGGTGGGTGGCTTTCCGTTGGCGCCCTTGCTCCAGTCGCGGGCAATTTTGAGGAGGAGCTTGGCGCTTTCCTCCCGTGCCTTCACGCCGATGTGGTCAAAGTGGGTGCTCATAACAACCACTCTCGCGTCGGTCTGCTTGTCGACAAACTCGCCGACGGTGACGATGCGGTTGAGGACGGCATCCCATCCTCTGGAGGGCTTGCCCGGGGTCTTGCTCAGCCACAGCGTCTCGTTGCGCTCACACTGCCAGCGATCGACTTGGTAGAAGACGGGGGAAAACTCTCCCGCTCGCTTACCATCGTCCCGGCCGACTCCGATGTGTGCCCATCCCGGGCCGAGCCATGATTGGATCTCTTGGAGCTGGGAGTAGAGCACTTCTTGGAGGCAGACGAAGGCAGACTCGTGACCGGCTGTGATGAAGTCCAGCTGGTTGATGAGCTTGGGACCGCGAAAACTCCACGGCTTCTCCTTCGGTGTCGGACTCTGGGTGGCGTACCGGACGTTCTGGGTGACCATCCGCAGCAACATGGAGGAGGACGCCGTGGATGGGAGCTGGACAAGCATGCTGGAATATTTTATTGAAAGCGTGTTTGACCTAGCAAAAAAGACAGCGGTTTTCAATGGATTTGATGTAGTCAAAAGAACCTCTAAAGTTGGAACACGGTTGAAGCTTCGGATGGCATAAAGCAGGCATCCTCCTTCCCCAGACCGTTGAGTGGGTCACGTGGCGAATCCTGGACCGAGAGCCGAGGAGGAGTGGCCCAAGCTTCACGTCCACATTCTTCGTCCGTCCGGGGCGCCTCGCAGCTGCTCCGTGCTCCACCACCCGAAAGTATCCAGCTGAGCCACCTCCATTGCGAGAAATGACCCCTCACAGCCATTGCTACCTCTCCCGGGCTGGGCTCTTATTCGGGCAGCCGGCTGATGATGCCTCCGCGTCCCAGTTTGCCTGCATCTGCTGTGTGCCAATGAGGCCGCAAACCCGGCTGCCCCTCATCTGATGGTGCAGACTACGGCGGTGCCCTCTTACGTGGGACGTAAGCATTATCATCTCACTTGCGACTGGTTGTTTGTCACTACATGCGATTAGGGAACACTTGTGTCACCCGATGCTAGAGCGTGTTTGCGCGGCAGGCTGATGTCGGCGCGGAGACTCCACAGACCGGTCACGTTCGACCGCGGCCCGTAGCCGGAAGTCCCACCACGGGTCGTGATTCATCTTTCCATGGGATGGCAGCGGTTCGAGTCCAAGGAGACGTTCGTCCGGCCTTGTCAAATCCAAGTCATGACGCAATATGTGCACAGTCGGCAAGGCACCTGACTTGACGTCGAGACAGACTTTAGCTGCTTCGTTTCGACTAGTCGTCGTCTGTAT